TTCGGGCCAGACGCACTACCCACAGGCGTACTTCGTGTGTTGGACTCGGCTTTCGATACAGTGCAGGATGGGGAGGAGCTCTTTGCTCAATTTCTGAATACGCTGCAGAACCCGGGTGAACAACCCTCGTCCTACCTTCAGAGATTGCATCTAACGCTAAGCACTGTTGTTAAAAGAGGCGGCATCACAGCAGTTGATCAGGACAAGCACCTGTTAAAACAGTTCTGTCGTGGATGCTGGGAAAACGGCGTAATCGTGAAATTACAACTTGAACAAAAGAAAGACAATCCCCCATCATTCGCTGAGTTGCTATTATCATTAAGACTGAGGACACTGGAGCTAACGAGGAGGGAGGAAGCCAAAATGTGTCGATGGGAATCAAATTCATTTTACCCAATAGGTTTGATATGAACGTATGCTCGAGATTTGTAAAGTCGTTGAATGAGGAAGACAGTTAAAGACTCTTTAATGAAAAAGCACATCGGCTCCACAAAGCAACGAGCCAGTATTCAATCTCAAAGCGCTTGGTCTGGTGCTAGTCCGAGCACAGACACAAACCCAAGTGATGAACTGAAAGATTTAAAAAACCAAATTCAGAAGCTTCAAGAGCAGATGTCAATACTCTTGTCCCAAAAGGCATTATCCTCAAACCAGGGGCCACGACCTGACCTGTCAAAGCCAACCAGCTACACCCAATCATCAGTCAAGCCAAGACCCTGGTACTGTTTCAGGTGTGGTGAAGATGGGCATGTCTCGTCCTCTTGTACAAATAAGCCCAATCAAAGCCTCGTTGAACAAAAGAAAAAGCAGCTACGCCAAAAACAGCAGGCGTGGGACACAAAAACTGGCAAGTCAAACTAGCAGCAGCTCCTGTTAAGGGACACCCGGAAGCTGCTGAGACCCAAAGTCCCAGAAATACGCAACGGCCAATCATGCTGCCCAGAGGCCTTATTGGAACAAAGAGCACTGGCCAAGTCCGAATAAATGGAACTCTATTCAATTGTCTCCTTGACAGTGGATCTCAAGTAACCACAATACCACACTCGTTTTACAACAGACACTTGGTCGAACACAAGATAAAACCCTTGAACAATCTGTTGGAAGTCGAAGGGGCAAATGGTGAAGCTGTGCCCTATTTTGGATATGTCGAACTCAATCTGACTTTTCCGTCTGAACTCTTTGGAACGGAGACTGAACTGGACACTTTGGCTATGGTTGTGCCTGATGTCAAACACTCTAACCCGCTTCTGTTGATCGGGACCAACACATTGGATGTGGCATATCAGAAGCATCTGGAAGCTGGCTCCATCGACCACCAGTCTACCGGATGCGGATACAGAGCCATTATGAAAATCTTGCAGCGCCGGCATGCAGAGACATTTACAAATAACCCCTTCCTTTTGATACTTTGTTCTGACCAACCAGAGACGATTATGCCAGGCAAAACAACAGTCCTGGAGAGCAAACTCACACCTCGGCTGTTAGAAGATGAGAAAGCTGCGGTAATTGAGCATCCTTCCTCAGTTACCCTTCCTGGTGGCCTCTTTGTTAAACGTTGTCTTGTTGACCTGCCCCAACATCGGCCTTGTTCCCTGCCGGTTGTAGTAACAAACGAGTCAGAACATCCAGTCGTACTCCCAGCTCGAGCAATTATCGCAGAGATCAGTGCTTTCCAAACCATCATACACAAAAAGCACACTGTGAAAGATCCGGAAATACCAGAGCCATCACTGATCCAATACAACTTTGGGGACTCACCATTGTCGCCCCAGTGGAAAGAGAGACTTGTGTCCAAGCTTAACAGCATATCAGACGTGTTTGCCAAGCACGATCTCGACTTTGGACGGACTGACATGGTGAGACACCAGATAAAGATGTCAGATCCGACACCTTTTAAGCAACGTCCGCGACCCATCCATCCTCATGATGTTGACGCGGTGAGGAAACATCTACAGGAGCTGTTAGATACGGGAGTCATAAGAGACTCTGACTCACCGTTCGCGTCCCCAATCGTAGTTGTTCGGAAAAAAAACGGAAGCGTACGCTTATGTATCGATTACCGCAAACTAAACATGCAAACCATCAAGGATGCATATGCCCTTCCGAAGATGGAGGACGCTTTTGCTACTCTTTCTGGATCGGAATGGTTCACGGTGCTTGATCTGAAGAGTGGATATTACCAGATTGAGATGGATGATAAGGATAAATCGAAGACCGCTTTTGTGTGTCCTCTCGGGTTCTATGAATTCAATCGCATGCCGCAGGGAGTGACCAATGCGCCAAGCACATTTCAGCGACTTATGGAAAAGTGCATGGGACAGTTGAATCTGAAGGAGGTGTTGGTGTTCATTGACGACTTAATAGTCTTTGCACCAACACTTGAGGAACACGAAGACCGGTTAATGAGAGTCCTGAATAGGCTCAAAGACTTTGGCTTGAAGTTGTCTATTGAAAAATGCGTGTTCTGCCAAAAGTACGTGAAGTATTTGGGCCACGTGGTGTCCCAAGACGGAGTGGAAACGGACCCCGACAAAACGTCTGCACTGAAGTCCTGGCCTGTCCCACTAAACTTGAAAGAGCTGCGGTCGTTTCTGGGATTTGCTGGGTACTATCGGCGTTTTGTGCGAGATTTTGCAACAATTGTCAAACCATTGCATGATCTTACTGCTGGCTATCCACCTGGCCAAAAGAAACTTAAACCGACCATCAAAGCAACAAACTACTTGAATCCAAGAGTACCCTTTGGTGGTCGCTGGACCCCACTTTGCCAGAAAGCCTTCGAGAACATCATTGACAAGCTCACCTCTGCCCCCATACTTGCTTTTGCGGACCCCAACAAGCCGTACGTGCTTCACACTGATGCAAGTTCCAGCGGTCTTGGGGCAGTTCTCTATCAGGAACATGAAGGGACGAACCGTGTTGTGGCATATGCCAGCAGAGGCCTGTCAAGGAGTGAATCAAACTACCCAGCACACAAGCTGGAGTTCCTTGCGCTTAAATGGGCTGTCACAGAGAAGCTCAGCGATTACCTCTATGGCATGCAGTTTACAGTTGTTACAGACAGCAATCCGTTGACCTACCTGTTAACTTCAGCAAAATTGGACGCTACCTCTTACAGGTGGCTCTCGGCTTTATCCACTTTCAGCTTTAAGATCATTTACAGATCTGGAAAGCAGAATGCTGATGCTGATGGCCTTTCACGCCGTCCACATCTTGAGGTGCCTGAAGACCCCACGTCCAGTAAAGAACGTGAATGGGTTCTCAAGTTCATCAAATGCCATCTTGACGGGGACCAGACAGTCATTGACCTTGCCACAGTGAAAGCGATTTGTGACCGTCAACTAGTGTTTGGCTCTTCAACTGTTGACCCGGCTCTTGCCCTTGTCCTCTCCTTGACGACAAACCCAGATAGCCTACCTGACAGCTTTTCCGATGACGCTCAGTTCGCCTCCTCGGTGGTCCCTTCGTACTCTACTGCTGATCTCGCCGCAAAGCAGCGATCTGATCCAATCATTCGGCATGTGATTGCGCAGATAGAACGAGGGGAATCACCGCCACCTTCTCTGCGAGAACAACTCCCAGAATTGCCCTTTCTTTTGAGAGAAAGTAACAGAATGACATTCCGAAACAACCTTCTAGTGAGAAGGAGGCAGGTTGGGAGTTTCGTTGTTTACCAATTGGTGTTGCCGGAAGAATGTCGCGATGCTGTTCTGTCCCAGCTACATGACCAAATGGGCCATCTTGGAATAGAGAGGACATTAGATCTGGTCCGGTCCAGGTTCTTTTGGCCAAAGATGGCTGCGGACATCCATAGAAAGATCAGAACTTGTGAACGTTGTGTGAAGCGTAAAACCTTACCAGAGAGGGCTGCGTCTCTTGTTAACATTAGGACATCACGGCCACTAGAGCTTGTTTGCATGGATTTCTTATCTCTGGAGCCTGATCGTCGAGTGAAGGATATACTTGTGCTCACTGATCATTTCACGAAGTATGCCGTTGCAGTGCCTACTCCAAATCAGAAAGCCCGCACTGTCGCCAAGTGTCTTTGGGAGCATTTCTTTGTCTATTATGGCATCCCGGAGCGGTTGCACAGTGATCAGGGCCCTGACTTTGAATCACGGACCATAAAGGAGCTGTGTGGCATTGCTGGTATCGAGAAGGGAAGGACTACTCCATACCACCCCAGGGGAAATCCTGTTGAAAGGTTTAATCGTACCCTGTTGAACATGCTGGGGACATTAACGGAGGATAAAAAGTCCCGCTGGAGAGAGTTTGTTAAACCCCTCGTACATGCATATAACTGCACTAAAAATGACGTGACTGGATATTCACCTTATGAGTTGATGTTCGGTCGCCAACCTCGCTTACCTGTTGATTTAGCTTTCGGACTACCTTTGAGGGACGTCGTTTCGACGTCCCATTCACAATATGTCCAGGATCTGAAGGACCATCTGAAGGAGAGCTACCAAATGGCCATTGCGAATTCCGAAAAGGAGATGAGTCGCAACAAGTCCATATTTGATCGTCGCGTTTCTCCTTCTGAACTGGCTGTTGGTGATAGGGTGCTTGTAAGAAATGTTCGCTTGAGAGGGAAACATAAGCTGGCTGACAAGTGGGAGTCTGATGTCTATGTGGTGGTGAAGAAAGCTGGTGACCTCCCTGTGTTTACGGTTAAACCTGAATGTCGGGAGAAGCCTCTAAGAACCCTGCACAGAGATCTCTTGTTGCCCTGTGGTTACTTATCGGGTACTGTCAAGCGTCTTCCTGTGACAAAGAAGACACATGCCATCTTGTCGGGTCTCGAACCCGGACTTGTCGAGGACGATCAATCAGAGGATGAGTATGTGACGGATACCTCTGACCGACTGGTTGTTGGCCCTGTGAACTTCACCCACACTAGGGTTGTCGACAAGCCAGCAATTCCCCTGCCAACTGGTGACCAGCCTCAAGCGTCTCCATGCTCCTTTGTTCCCCCTGTCCCACAGGTGGCTCCGTTAGCTATGGACGAGCCTCCATGTTCCGCTGCTTTCTCCTTTCCACCAGTGGTTCCACCAGCTATGGATGAGGAGCAGGTGGATGAGGAGCAGGTGGATGAGGAGCAGGTGGATGAGGAGCATTTTCCGATTGCTTCAGAGGAGCTGAGTCCAGTGGAGATTGAGGAGCGCGGGCCAGGACTAGGCGACCTTCAGGTGGGTGCCTTGCCGGTCGATGATCGCTTTGCTTCTGATTCGCCAGTGTCTGAACTGGACAGTGAACGCTCTCCCGGTGTGCTGTCTTCTGTTGCATGTGTGCCTGACAGTCCGGACTGTGATCCTCCTCCCCGTCAGTCGACTCGCACACGCCGGCCGCCTGATCGCCTCCAGTACGACAAGCCTGGTAACCCGCTGCTTAAGAGCATACAATCCCTGTTTCATGGCTTGAGTACAGCTTTCTCCTATGTCCTAGAAGAAGTGGGTGATGGTGATGTAATTGCACCCGCCTTCCAAACAGTCTGCAGCCAGCCTGCCCCATGTCCGGGGACGTTCATGGATTCAGTGGGGGAGGCTGTAACCCACGTAGTTTAGCACTGTAACCCACGTAGTTTAGCTTAGTTGTAATCCCGCGTGACCCACGCAGCCACCGGACGTGATGCTTTAACCTGGCGCTGCCCCCTGTCCTCCCCCCTCTCATGGTGCTGCACTCACTGTTGTGATGCTACTGCTGCTATTTGCTACTGCTACTATCCGCTGCTGCGACTGATCTGCCATGGATCTGCTGCAATAAATTCAGCTGAATCACCGCTGCTTTGCCTCGAGCTAGGACATCCCTCCTTCGCTCAGCGGTGAGTCCCGTTTTACCCCATTTTACTCTGATACTTGTTAAGAGTTTGATACGAGCGAGCATTGAGTACTCCATTAGATGTACGCGCGGATATTAGCCGCTTTGCGGGCAGCACAAACGCCAGAGTGGAGTTTCAAATCCACGTAATGCAAATCGATTTACTGATTTATATTCTTTTGTTCCTGCCGGATCTTAGGTTAGGCCTTTATTAAGTTAAGGACACCTTGTGTTGTTTAAATCCGTCCTGGATATAATTAGAACGAATGGTTTTGGCGTGTATACTTGGTTTGGCCATGACTGTTCTGCATTGACCCCATGGTGACGATCATGAGTGAGATCTTTTGATTAATATTTGAATTCGTTGCGCAACTTTTGATTTGATCGATATTTAGAACATAGCCACATCTTTACTTAAAGTGCACTTAATTAATTATGTGACTAATGAACTATGTTTCATAATGTATTATGTTTACAAACCCCATTGTAGATTGTTATATTTCTTCATTGTTATGTGTGTGTATAGAGCTTTGGGTTTTACTATGAGTCATAATTTGGGTTTTTTCCTTTGACCTCGTGTAGGTCAGGTTTTTTCACCCCTCCCTTTACCCCTCCTCGTGGACTATGATGGCGAGCTAAGAGCCCCCACCTCATGGTAGGAGATTGACGTCTATTTGTTTGTTCCTGATGTAAAAGAACTGGAGTCGTTGCTGGATTTACAAATAACTTTGGGATATTACAAACGTTTTGGATTTACAAAGAACTTTTGGATATTACAAATAACTTCCGGATAGTGAAACAATTCGACCAAACGGAACTTGTATAGAACTGTATAGAAAGAACTCATAGGACACGAGTTGCCTGTTTTGTTTTGTTTGTTTGTTTGGTTAACACATTCATTCGTTTCCTCATAGTTGTTTTGTTTTGAATCCTACATATTTGGTTATTTTTTTTCCCTCATTGTCATTGAGGGCACCTACCCATATAATAAGAATACATAATTCAAATCAACCATTTGCTTCTTTCCTTTTTCATTCACTCTATGGCTCCCCTCCGAGCCAGTTTTCTGGTCAGTTAAGCACTTGTTCCGCAGTCACCCGACCTAGCCCTAAAGAGCGTTACACAAGGGAGACATTTTTTTTATCTTTTTTAGAAACAAGATAATTTGTCTTGTCCCATTGGTGAATCTTATCTTAAGGCAGTAACAATGTGCTTAAATTAAGATAGTTTAAGTTTAAACAATTTTCAACTTATTTTCAATCATTTTTTGCAGTGCAGCTATCAACTAATGACCGATTCATTGATGAAAAGTTGTAAAAATGACTGACTTTCAAAACTAACTATTGAGTCTCTATATTGTGATCCATATAAGCAACAGAAATGTCCAAACAGACCACAATAGATGCCAAGAACGACTATTGTGCTCTTGATGATATCCTGCAGGGTTGATCTCTGGCCTTTTCACACCTCGCAGCTAAAACTTGGGTTATTTTCAGTGTATATTACTGATTACTAAGCACACTTGTTGTAACTGTACTCTTTACCTTGTTTTATGTATGTACTTGTCTGGTACACACTGGGGACTTTTGCATATGTATTCCAATGTGGTTTTACTACAAATAGCCAATACAATAAATCTGAAAGTTAAAATATTAGCACTTTACTTTAACAAGACATGTTTTAGAGTCGCATCTTTTGAGCTTCCAAAATAATCCCACACTTACAGGCCTTCCGATCCAAACAACTCATCCATTACTCAAATTCACTATTGTCCCACTGTTATTGGACGACAGTGCCTTCGATGAACAAAACAATTATACAACTTTTGTTTTATTGCAACAATAACAAAGTGCAGACACAGCAGTGCATCACTGAATTGAGCCTCCATCAGATTTTCTTTCATTTGTGCCACAATCCCGTGTGTCTACCTAGTCCGTTGTAAAGACATGGCAAGTGTATTTGTATGGCACAGTTCATACACAAGGCAACTCAAAGTGATGAACAAAACAAGATAGAAACAATCACACAAGACATTAAAATGATAAACAATTGCCATACATTAAAAAGAGTAAAGATAAGTTGTATGCACAGCTAAAAAGATTTTTTTTTTAACCTGGATTTGAACATTGTCAAAGTAGAAGCCTGTCTCACGTTTTCAGGAACACTGTCTGAAACACAGCCTCTCCGAGAGATAAATCAGAGAAAAAAAAGAGAGAGAGAGACGTACTGAGCCTCCTGGATTGCGTTCCTCCTGCAGGCGAGGCCATTATTAGTTCATATCCGGCTGAAGTTTTACCACAGCTGCAAATGTCACGCGTGTCAAAACATCGGCGTCTCTTTGAGCTGCCGCCAGTGGATTCAGGTGCTGATGATGCTGCAGTGAGAATAGTGATCTAATGGTGATATATAAGTGCACGACGTGAACCGCGTGGAACATTTCAGGGATGTCCCACCGACTCCAAGGCCGTGGAAGACTATCACGGCCAGAATTAACCTCAGAGCCGCCGTGTGTTCAGAGACGGCTTTAGCTTTCACACGCAGCACACGCGTTCCAACCTCTTTCTCCTTTGGAAGTAGACATTTTTAAACTACTTTATCATGCGAAAGTCTGAGGTTTTGAAATGTAATCCTTGCTTCTTCGTTATGCTAAAGTTAGAGATGTTATACTTACTTCAAATTATGCTAAAGTCAGAGATTTTTTTCATCATTCTTGCTTCTTCTTTTTGGTAAAGTTGGCGATTATAGATTGCTTCCTTATTATGCTAAAGCTAGAGATTGTATTTACTGTGATTTTATTTAGTAGAGAGTTTACTATAGAGTTATTAAGTATAGAGTTTGGAATAGAGTCTTGTGCTCCTCATTCTTACTGTTCTGTAACAGTTTTCTTGTGGTTTGAAAGTCGGGTACCCCAGCTTTAAGAACAACATTTATTTTGTGGAAAGTTCATGCCGTGAAAAAGAATCGAAAACTGTATAACCCCCCTTGAATATTAAACTTTCATCTTTTAATTCGACATTTATAGTCATTTTTGTATTTTTTTTATCTTGAAAATAGATGACAGACATTCTTGCTATGGCCACACCCTGCTGATCGATTAGTCAACGACAAAGGGCCTACAAATAGCTCTCAAATATTAGGCATATATATAATAGCCTCTTCAGAAAAGGGGCTTTAACTGGCATTGAATGTTGGTTACAAAACGACCAAAAATGTTGAATAAAACGGTAAAAGTGATGAAAATAAGAGAGAAATAGCTAGAATTTAAGCACATTTTGACTGCCTTAAAACACAATTTGCCCATGGGATAATGCAAAATGATCTTGTTTTAAAAAGATGGGTTCGGGTCTCTTGGAATGAGAAAATGAAACAATAGTTGAGAAGTAATAAGATTGCCCCATTGGAAAATATTGTTTTAAATTAAGACAAAAACCACTAAATTCAAGCATTTATCACCATATCTGATCATGTGTTGCTGTGATGAGTAAAAGATAATGTCATAAAAATAACTAAACTAATAAATAAACTACAAACAGCAGAAAAAGTCACAAAGTCTCGAACACCAAAAACAACAACCATCATGCTTCCAGTACAAAAAGCCGTCAAATTGACTGCCCTGGGAGCTCCAGTGTTAAAATACGTGTCTGCATCCATGACTTCCAGCGGAGCAGATGTCTGGTGTTAGCTTGCCTCCTATTTGCTGTTGCATGATCCTCCGATTAGAACATCCTTCTTGTTTTGCTTGTAGTAATCCAGATAGAGCCTTGAGAGACAGAGGTTTTATAGAAATGCTTCCAGCTGATTTTGACTAGGACCACGCGCGTCATCTGAAAGTGATTATCCGCTCTCCGACGGCTTCCCCTGGTCCGGACTCAAACCTGACAGGCCCCATTAGGAGGACGCCTATGTTTTGATTTCCCCACAAACGGCTTGGGTTCCAACTGGAGCGCTCTGGTCCCTGCAGAGGGGAGCAGGGGATCCACGCAGACGGCCAGGCCAACGCCATTTATTTAGCTTCCCAAATCAAATAAATCTCCAGCTCTGAGATCACTGAAAAACACAGCTCGCATAAATACTCGTGTTGGAATCTTGACCAGATGTGAGGGCGAAGAGACGGTCAGAAATCTTCCACATAACGATGGCTTTTAGTCTCTTTTGAAATGTCTAAAGTATTATAGAAGCTTTTCACAAATCAGTGTCTGACCATAACGACGGCACAAGAGAATATCGCATTTTCAGTGCATAATAAATATTTACATTTGAATAAGAATTAAATACACCTCACAGTGATACTTGGACACGTCATCATTGATGGACCCGGGGTCAAAGGGTGTTTCGGGTTTTTAATCATCGACACCCTTGCCCGGGCGACCCAGCCGAGGGTGATCAGTCTCCGGCTTGTGTCCAAGTAGCGCACCACGGATCCCCTCTCGGATCCACAACCACCGGAAAACAGACTGTTATGGAATAAAAGTGGGTTTTAGGAAGTGATTTAAAAGAAGACACTAAGGGTAAAGTAAAGTAAAGGTTAAGGTGTAC